TTTTTTTAAAAAAAGAATGATTTTTGTACCAAACAGATCTTGTAATTTTCTATCTTCATGCTGGATGTATGGGTTGGTCATGTTAACTCCAATATTAATTAATTATTCATGATGTGTTGGACACAAGCAGCAGTGTTACAAGCACAATATGTTAGATGTTAAATTTGTTTACCAGGTTTAATACACAAGCAATTTTTTAAACGTCTTGGAAATATTTTTACGAGTATCTATTTCCAACTTCCATTTAATATTCATCATGAGTGGCTGGTGATAGGATTTGTTAGAGAAAACTGCTTGTGTCAACAATTATTCAGCAGAAAGAAGATAAAGAGCCGAGGTGGCGCAGTGGTTAGGGTGCAGTACTGCAGGCCACTTCAGCTGACTGTTATCTGCAGTTCTAATCTCACCGGCTCAAGGTTGACTCAGCCTTCCATCCTTCCGAGGTGGGTGAATTGAGGACCCAGACTGTGGGGGCGTTATGCTGACTCTGTAAACCGCTTAGAGAGGGCTGAAAGCCCTGTGAAGCGGTATATAAGTCTAACTGCTATTGCTATTGCTAAATCTGGGACAATTTGGTTGGTGGATATAAGGATTCAGTTGCTCTGTGGAGAATTCTCTGTGGTGGCTCTAAGCTGTTGAATGAAGTCTTGTAACCTTTCCTCAGCAGTGATTTCTTCACTGGCTGTATTGTGTATTCTTCATCATCTGCTGCTGCTTACTGGAGATGAGAAGGATACATAGATAGGGTTCCCTTCTATAAAAGCACTATATTGCGTAAAGCATGATTTGTTCCAGAACAACATAATTGTCATCTTTTTCAAAAATAACTTTATAGATGAATTGCTTGGAAAATCACCTAGAAAAATGTCACACAAAGATGCTTTTCAAACATGAATTGTGAAAGTCACTTTTCCTGATGATTTAAGAGGTAGATGTATTCCAGAGATTGGTATTTACTATAAAAGCACATCAAAAGTGAGTATAACCATAGCTAATAAAAACAATAGGCCTTTTATTTTTGATTTTTTCCCCATTGTTTAAATGTTTAAAATGGGAATTAAAACACTTAGACTTTTTGCAGCAGTTTAATCTAAAAAACCCTATGTAAAACAGAAATTATAAACAATGTGTCAGTAAACTCGTGGGGAGTGCTATTGAATTAACATGCTAAACAATGCTATAGAGGAGACATGTCAAACTCAAGGCCCCAGGGCTAGATGCTGCCCACAGTGTGGTTAGATTTGGCCCATAGGGCCGCCCTGGAGATGGAGGGGCCAGCCCCTGTTGATGTGGCCCCAGCCCAGCCTGGCTGGGTGCTTCTCCTAGACCCACAGCAAGTGCACGGGCTGGTGCACAGCTGATGTGCGATGAGCACTGTCTTGCCCAGCAGGTTGATTGTTCCTACACTGGGTGGCCACCATGAAATTGTAGTAGAGCAGTGCATAGAGTCCCAGCAGCAGCACTGCACCTGCCACCAGCACCTCTGATGCCTCCATGGCCTGCTTGCCAGCCAGGCTCATCCACTGGCCCCAAGCCCACAATAGCAATAGCACTTAGAGTTATACACTGCTTCACAGTGCTTCACAGTCCGCTCTAAGTGGTTTACAGAGTCAGCATATTGCCCTCAACAATCTGGGTCCCCATTTTAATGACCTCGGAAGGATGGAAGGCTGAGTCAACCTTGAAGGCAAAATTATTCCCAAGTTTTATTCTTCAGCAGCATGTGGAGGCAGCACTGAAGCTGTTTGGATTATCTGCCACTGTCAGTGAAATTTGCCTTTAAAAGCTATTCTTGCTAGTGGAGCCTCAGTATAATGTGTTTATATTCTCCTATGATCATGGCGACAGCAGCCAGACTGGGTTGCTCTGTCCAATAACCAATTGGACTGAGTCTACACTTGTGATGTCATCGATTCCTGGTGACTCCTCTCAGTTTAGACTCAGTCCAACCTAGGACAAGCTGTGAGAATTGATCTCTCTCCTTAGAATTATCTCATTTGGTCTAATTTCCTTGATTGGCTTTTTTCTAAACAAATTTTATAAATTTTTCTGAAGCTTTAAATTGGAATTGAGGCTTCTGCCTTTTTTTTCTCCAGCCCCAAATTGGGGTGGGAGATTTAAACTTGCTTCTAGCTTCCCTGCAGCAGCCTTGCGGCCACGAGTTCGCTCCACATGCAGCCGGCTCTAGTCAGCAAGGCGCTGACTTACTGCTCACGAGCTACAGCTCAGAGGCTGATTTTGAGGCATTCGGATTTGGCGAGGAGGCTGAAAACAACGGGAGATGCCAGGAGGCTTGCGGCACTTCGGTGGACATCGAACGGAAGTGGCCACCATTGGGACAAGCATACGCCCCCAGGAAGCACGCCAAGGGTTCCAGAGGCTTCCCTAGTGATTGCGAAAGCGTGCGAAAGTTGTGGTGGTCATCTTGTGGCTTGGAAAAAGTGCGCAAAGACGCTGGGCCATTTTAACTGCCCAGCGACCCAACAATGTTCACAGAGCAACCCAATGCCTCGGATTCCTGCTTGCAACTCTAAAAAACCAGTGAGATTGTTCCAATTCTCCAATTTGGGGCTACTGCATTGGCAGGCACGAGCTGCTAAGGAGGCCCCTGAGACTACCAAGGCCACTAAGGTCTCTAAATCTTCCAAAAGGGCAGAGGAAAGAAGACAAAAGACTCTGGAGAAAAAATTTCAAACGGGCCCAAAGGCAGGCTAGTCAGGACATCCAGGCCCCTCTCCCTCCTTATATGGGCGATCTGGTGACTTCCCCTGGGCCTCCAGCACTACCACCCATGGGGGAGTGTCAGCATCTGGATGAATCAGAAGGGGAATTGTCTTCTTCCTAATCTTCTTCAATAGAACCAGATACCAGGGGAAACTTTTTTGATTTCCCTCTCAATAGCAATTGCACCTTGAACAGTCAGGTCATCTTCCTGCTCAGGCCTCAGCAGTGCCCCAAGTCCCCTCTTCTACTGAAATGGCTGCCATAATTTCTGAAGTCATAAAGCAATGCATAGCTGCAGGGCTCCAGTAGCGTTCGTCTTCAGGACCTTCTTATGGGCACAGACATAGGTCATCTGGAGACCCCCAAAGAAATCCTTCTGCCTCTGCCACTCAGTTTTCTATATTTGGAGATCAAGATAATCTCAGGGATTCAGATCTATCAGATGATGAGGGTATTACCCCTGATACACCTGCCTTTGCCGGCTTATTCAAAACTGATCACTTTAAATCCTATTTAAAACAATAAAGGCAGCTAACTTGCCTTCTGCTCCTTCCACTTCTACACAAGCTCAAATTGTGGCTCCTTCCTCGTCTGAACTTCCTAAC